CAAAAAAAAATAAAAATGGAAGTATTTAATGGTGAAGGAAGTTTTTTTGCCTTGTTTCATGTCGTTCTATCATTTCTGTGTGCACTAGAATTCTCAGAAAACTTTAAATTGCCAAAGGCCGCGCAACTTTAATTTCCTCCACTGTTTTCCTACAAAATACCCCTAATTATTTCATCATTCTTCATAGCTAACTACAATCTTATAAATATTTACGCCCTCATACTCGTTTATTTTCTCGTAAGTGGAACTTACAACTATGGCTCATATGCCTCATCCTCATCACAATATTCTCCAGGTTCTCCTTTTATTGGCGGTCACTCTACTTCTGGTGTTGGAGGTAGCAGTTATTCATCGTGCTTACTCACAGTTCTATCCTTCTGAAGTCGGTGGTAGCAGACTAGCAGTACCCCCTTCCCCCCCCACCTATACTTTATGCATGTACTGGGTGACTCTTGCTTGTAGACCCGCCAGCACCAACTTTTACTTATTCTAGCCGGATACTGCCCGCCCACGCCCCTATCGCCCATGCTGCTGAGACGTTCACGTTCTCTCTTCCCTGGCCTGTGGCAGTGGCAACAATTAATTGCCTCCCATTTGCCACAGCCCCCTCTATTCCGACTAAACATTTCATCTCTTATCCTCCACCTCTCCCTCCTCAACACCGCAATACTCAGCACACTCAAGACACAGAAATTCCAAAAACACAACTAGGAAAAAACCGTGCAAATTTAAGAGTCGGGCTCTAACCCTCTGAAGGGAAAGGAAAATTCAAACAGAGAATCTTCCAAAGTGTGGGGACATTTTACTCAAGTTGAAGACGCTAACGACGAAAATAAGAGGACGGTTCATTGCAATATTCACAAAAAAAGTGTACAAATTCCAAAAGCTATGTGGTATCGGTGACTTGAAGAGGCATCTTGACAAAACCACACCCCGATTTGGAAGGAAAAACCACAAGTCCGTCTCAAATTATCACAAGTACAGTGGGCTTTCTACTCTCAGGTTTAAACCAAACATTGCCAAGAAATACTTAGCATGATTTACTGCTTAGTCTGAGCTCCTTTTTTCTATATCTGAAAATGAGTTTTTCGAATATAGTAGAACTACTTTTTTCCCTGAATATAACAAAATTAGCAGCAAAACAATCACAAGACGTATAGAGCACCTTTGATCGTACAAAAAGTCTTTCATGCAGAGTACTCTGTTAGTAGTGGCTACGAAGATAGCTTTAACCTATGATGTGTGGAAGTTACTCATATCACCACCACTATATATGTGTCACGACTCACTTTGTTGATGAAAATTGGGATTTACAAAAAAGAACCTTATATTTCAAAAGATTTCAGTATCCTCATAATGCTCCCATAATGCTCAAGCACACACAAGTCGCGATTACGATAATGAGAAAATTTTACTATCACCTTCGACAGTGACTCCGAAAACACTGCTTCAATTACACATCTTGTAGAGATATGAAAACCCATTTTATGAGGAAAGCTTCTTTATAGTAATTGTGTATGTCATATTATTAACCTCTGTATTTAGGACGGTATGAAGTTTTTAAATGAGCATTTGCTTAAGCTTCATGGTTTTATTTCTTGCATGAGTGGTGATCCCAGAAATGATTTTCTTTTAGAGATTGTTGTGCAGATTTTGGTTTGAGAAGAAGAATTCTTCCTATTGATATCAAGACCAGATGGAACTCCACCTATTCCTTGCTAAGGAAGGCCCTCCCTTACCGCGCAACAATGGATTCCTTTATGGCTGGTGAGAACGTATCAGGTATTTTCATTGATGATTATGAATGAGAGCTTTATTATTTTTTTTTAAATTCTTGGAGAAGTTTGAGGCTACTATGAGAACCCTTTCTAGTGTGTACTATATTACTATTAATTTAGTTCTTTACCATCTTAACAATATTGCTGAGTTGTAGAGATAACCAATATCTTTCTAATACACGAAAAGAAATAGAAAGTTAAGTTTTCCAAATATTTTGAGGAATGCCTTGCTTTTTATCTAGCTACGATGAGGATAAAACTTGATAATTTGAACGAGATGATCAAAAAATTCTGCGAGAACATGGGTAATCAGTGAGATGTTGATAATGTAGTAAAAGATATTAACGATACACTAGAGGGTAAGTTTTCAATATATAGAGATATTTTGTCCCCGAACCAAGGATCCGGAGATTCTAGAGCCTCAACCAGAACCTTATCCTCCTCCAGCTCCGAAAAGAAAAAAAAAATTCAAATTAGATGTCAAGATTGGTTACAAGAACCAAAAAGAAACAGACATCTAATACAAATGTGATGGAGCTTTGTATGTATTTGGAGAGTTTAAAAATACTTTTTGAGAGTTCTTGGGAGTCATTCAATGTACTAGCATGGTGGAAAGGGAGTCACAAAATTATCCTATATTTTCTACAATAGCTAAAGACTTCTAACCCCTTTCACTTCTACAGTTGCCTCTAAGAGAGTATTTTCTGCGGGTGGACGAGTAGTTTCACAGTGGAGGGCACAACCAACCGCTGCACATGTAGAGATGTGTATTTGTTTGAAGGATTGGTTAGATAAGGAAGAACTACAAGGAAGACGTGCAACTTTCTTTCAAGAAGACGAAAAGAATGAAGAAAATGTGAGCCCTGTTACTGGTTAAGATTTTCTTCTTTTTTCTTTTTATTTCTTTTTTCTTTTTTATAATTTGTTATGATTTATTTTTTATAACTAATGGAAAAATTATTTACTGCCTATGGATGTAAAATTTGCTTCGAACCATGTAAAATCTTTGTGTTTATGATGTTTCTCTCTATCATTCTGTACAAATATACAATTTTATTTAATAAAACTAAATTCCTATTTATTATAGTAGTGATTGTCAGCTAGTAATTAACTACATATAAAATTTTAAATGTTCAATGCTTCAAAACTATTTAAAATCATTTACAGAATCACAAAAAAAGAAAGTAAAAAAAGATGAGTGGAGTGGGTCGGCTTGCGACATGGCTCGTCCCGCATGTTCACATGCTCATGAGTAGGCTGGGCTGAGGTCCAGGCCCAGGAACAAGCGGCCAAACACAAGGCCCACTTGTCCTATTGTAAGACGTGGGTCATCTCGCCTCGCGATTGGACTCGCACGAGTTGGCTCGCGGGATGTGTCATCTCCTCCCATTGAACATCACTAATCCTTATCGTCATTTTCTTCTTCCAAGCAACACCAAACCCAAGGACACTCTCCTTCCCCATCATCAACCCCCAACCAAAATGAGAACAGAACAACAAAAGGGAAAACAATCATCAACCTTCAAAACTACAAGAAAGTGCTGGATCCTCTAACGTTATCTAAGTCATGCTGGCTCCTCTAATGTTATCTCTAAGCTGAAGCTGCTGGAAGCCAAAACTAACCTCCTTGCTGGAAGTTTTCCTAACAACTACTTCCGGTAATATCATTGTAATATCCAGAAGACACATCTCCCCTCCTCAGAACCTTAGACATATACAAAAAGGAAAACAGCTCCGTTAACTTCATGGCATTTCTGACAACTACAGAAAAGGCAATGATTAATAGGTGCACAATTCAGTAGCTAAAAAGATGGTCCGATACTTATTCAAAAAGAAAGTAAGAAACCTTGAGATCTTTATGATAGACACCTAATTTTGCAGTCTACAAGTTTATAGGAGTTCATCAATCAAACATGTCAGAAGACATACTAGGATTTAAAGGTTAATGACAACTTATTCAGCCATATCCAAGAATCTATTCCACGTAGCTTAACCATATATTGGTAAAGGGGCAATAAGAAAAAGATCAGAAAAGATGAAGAGCAGGACTTAGAATTCTTTTGGTTGCACACCGGGTGTCACAATCACCCATGGCCATCATATAATAGGCCATGTTAATCAAGAGATACCCAGTTATGCCCAAAATATGCTTTTGCCCTCTTTTCCTCGCACTACTAAGATGTTTCAGTTCGTTGCCCAGGGATTCGTTAGTAACAATTCACCTGTTCCTATTTGCTGATTTTCAACTCCTGAAGAATTTTGTTGCTTGTTTTGTCCTTCATTCCTTCTCTGGGAGCAAATTAAGATCCTGACATAGTGAATTACGCCCTAGTAGTAGGCCTCCATATCGTAATTCACCATGTCTTGATGTTCTTAATCACCCAGACCTTAATTCACCAGGATTTGATGTTCTTAATCATCCTGACAGCAAGCACAAGGTGTAAATCCTGACACACGTAATGCAAGTGGAATATCATACCAAGGGAAGGGAGGGGTGGGGAAGGGAGAATATAACATCATGTTTGGGAGTTTAGTAAGGAAA